TGCGTGTACAGCCTAACCGAAAAAGTTATGGACGGAAAAATTTTCAGGATAGGTCAGAAATCGCCTAACTTAGAATTGATGAGATTTTGGTGGTGATCCGGATCCAATTAATTAATTAATTAATTAATAGTGGTGGGGAGCGGAGCAGTAAGGTAGGAGGGCTGGTGTGCTGTGAAGGTGGTGGGGCGAGAGCAAGTAGGGAGAGGTTGTGTACTGTGAAGTGTGGGAGGGAGCAGAAGGGAGAGGGCTGTGTATGGTGAAAGGTTGAATGGGGAGAGAGCAGGTAGGGAGAGGGTTTGTGTATGTGAAGTGGTGGGGAGAGAGCAGCGTAGAGAGAGGGTGTTGTGCTGTAAGTGTGGGGAGAGAGCATAGGGCGAGGGTTGTAGTACTGTGAGGCGTGGCTGGCGAGAGACCAACTAGGAGAGGGTTGTGTGATTACTGCTGAAGGTGGTGGCGGGAGAGAGCATAGGGAGAGGCTGTGTGCTGGAAGGTGGTGGGGAGGAGCAGTACGGGAGAGGGGTTGTGTACTGTGAGGGTGGTGGGGCGAGAGAGCAATAGGGAGAGGGTTGTGTAGCTGTGAAGGTGGTGGGGAGAGAGGCAGATAGGTAGAGGGCGTGTGCTGTGAAGGTGGGTGCGGGAAGAGAGCAGTAGGGAGAGGGTTGTGTACTGTGAGGGTGGGTGGGGAGATGAGCAGATACGGGAAGGTTGTGTACTGTGAGGTGTCGGGGAGAGAGCAGCTAGGGGAAGGGTTGTGTGTGCTGTGAAGGTCGGGGGGGAGAGAGGCAGTTCAGGAGAGGGTTGTGTACTGTGAAGGATGGTGCGAGAGAGCGAGTAGGGAGAGGGTTTGTGTACTGTGAGGGTGGTGGGGAGAGAGCAATAGGAGAGGGTTTGTGTACTGTGAAAAGTGGTGGGGAGACGAGGGCAGTAGGGCAAGAGGGTATGTGCTGTGAAGGTGGTGGGCAGAGAGCAGTAGGGAGAGGGTTGTGTGCTGTGAAGGTGGTGGGAGAGAGGCATATGAGGCGAAGAAGGGTTGTGTACTGTGAAGGTGTGGGGAGAAGAGCAGTAGGGAGAGGGTTTGTGTGCTGTGAAGGTGGTGGGGAGAGAGCATAGGAGAGGCGTTGTGTATCTGTGAAGCGTGTGGGGAGGGAGCAGTAGGGAGAGGGTTGTGTAACTGTGAAGCGTGGTGAGAAGAGCAGCAGACTAGGGAGAAGGGTGTGTACTGTGAAGTGTCGGGGAGGGAGCAGTTAGGGAGAGGGTTTGTGTATTTTTTGCTGTGAAGGTGGTGGGGAAGAGAGCAGGTAGGGAGTAGGGTTGTGTCTGGTGCAAGGTGGTGGGAGAGAGCAGTAGAGGGGTTGTGTACTGTGAAGGCTGGCTGGGAGAGAGGCAGTAGGGAGACACCGGGTTGTGGTACTGATGCAAGGTGGGTGGGGAGAGAGCAGTAGGTAGAGGGTGTGTACTGTGAGGGTGGTGGGGAGAGAGCAGTAGGGAAAGAGGGTTATGTGTACTGTGAAGGTGGTTGCGGGAGGGAGCAGTAGGGAGAGGGGTTTGTGTACTGGTGAGGTGGTGGGGAAGGGAGGGCAGGTAGCGGGAGAGGGTTGCTGTACTGCTGAAGTGGGGGGAGAGATGCAGGTAGGAGAACGGGTTGTGTACTGTGAAGGTGGTGGGGAGAGAGAGGCAGTAGGGAGAGGGTTTGTGTACTTGTGAGGTGGTGGGAGAGAGCAGTAGGGAGAAGGGTTGTGTACTGTGAAGGTGTGGGGAGAGAGGCAGTAGTAGAGGGTTGTGTACTGCTGAGGGTGGTGGGGAGAGAAGCAGTAGTGAGAGGGTTGTTGTACTGTGATAGGTGGCTCGGGGAGGGAAAGCAGTAGGGGAGAGGGTTGATCACCGGTGTACTGTGCAGGTGGTGGGGAGAGAGCAAGTAGGGAGAGTGTTGTGTACTGTGACAGGTGGTGGGGAGAGAGCAGTAGGGAAGAGGGTTGTGTACTGTGAAGGGGTGGGGAGGAGCAGTAGGTTTAGAGAGTTGTGTGCTGTGAGGGTGGTGGGAGAGTACAGTAGGAGAGGGTTGTGTCCTGTGAAGGTGGTAGGGAGAGAGCAGTAGGGAGAGGGTTGATCACCATGTACTGTGAGGGTGGTGGGGAGGGAGCAGTAGGGAGAGGGTTGTGTCCTGTGAAGGTGGTGGGGAGAGAGCAGGTAGGGCGAGGGTTGTGTTACTGTGAATGTGGTGGGGAGAGAGGCAGGTAGGAGAGGGGTTATGTCTGTGAAGGTGTGAGATGTAGCAGTAGGGAGAGGGTTTGTGTCCTGTGAAGGTGGTAGGGAAGATGAGCAGTAGGGAGAGGGGTTGTGTACTGTGTAAGGTGTGGGGAGGGAGCACAGGAGGAGAGGTTGTGTACTGTGAAGGTGTGGGGAGAGAGCAAGTAGGGATGAGGGTGTGTACTGTGAAGGTGTAGGGAGAGAGCCCGTTAGGGAGAGGGTTTGTGTACTGTGAAGGTGGTGGGGAGGGAGCAGTAGGGAGAGGGTTGATCACCGTGTACTGTGAAGGTGGTGGGACGAAGACAGCAGTAGTGAGAGGGTTGTGTGCTGTGAAGGTGGTGGCGCGAGGAAGCAGTAGGGAGAGGGTTGTGCTTACTGCTGAAGGTGGTGGGACGCGGGAGCAGTACGGGAGAGGGTTGTTGTACTTGAAGGTGGTGGGGAGAAGGGAGCAGTAGCCGGAGAGGGCCTGTGTGCTGTGAAGCGTGCGTGGGAGGGACCAGTAGGGAGAGGGTTGTGTACGGTGGTGAAGGTGTGGGAGAGAGGCAGAGGAGCAGGGTTGTGTATGTGACAGGTGGTGGGCGGGAGAGAGCAGTAGGAGAGGGTTTTGTGTACTGTGATAGGTGGTGGGAGGGAGCAGTAGGGAGAGGGTTGTTGTTACTGTGAGGCAGTGATGGGGAGAGAGCAAGTAGGGAGAGGGTTGTGTGCTGTGAAGGTGAGGTGGGGGAGGCGAGCAGTAAGGGAGGGTGTGTGTA